ACACTCCCCCAGCCAATCAGAGCACAGCCAACCCCCCAGCCAATCAGAGCACAGCCAAGCCCCTAACCAATCAGAACACACCTCCACCCAATCAGAACACAGCAAGCTCCCACCCAATCAGTTCATACCCCCACTGGCAGTTAAAAGGAAGAAACAGCTAAGACCACACATTGCTGCTCGAAGCACGAAGCTGAAAACACCAGCCTGAAGATGACGAATGGGACTATATATATATATATATATATATATATATATATATATATATATATATATATATATATATAGAAATAAAAACAAAAATGCGACTCTTGGGAATATTCATATTGTCCAAATAATAACGATCACCAAGAGAATATCTATAAAAATAGAAATTTAATCCACCGAGCTTTCGTCAAATACACTTGACATCGTCAGGGTTAAAAGGCAAACTACGGGGGGAGTCTTATATACAGTTGTTTAATGCCTGTTTCCGGCTCCTGGAGCGCGTCATAGGCCCCAGCTGATCGGGCTGAGTCCTAAGCATACGCCCCACGTCAGCATCTATCTCCGTTCCATGGTTAGTTTGAGTTCGATTATATGTTGCTTCGTTAGTTGTTACCGGGTTGGGAGCCCAAGTCCTTTTTCCTTCCCTATTCATAACCCCTCCACCATCCCAGACATCACTTCCCTTTGTGAGCGGGGGTAGGCAATTATCCACACTGCCTTCAATATCACTACATGCCCCAAGGCTGCTTTGATCAAAGCAGCCTTGGGGCATGTAGTGATATTGAAGGCAGTGTGGATAATTGCCTACCCCCGCTCACAAAGGGAAGTGATGTCTGGGATGGTGGAGGGGTTACGAATAGGGAAGGAAAAAGGACTTGGGCTCCCAACCCGGTAACAACTAACGAAGCAACATATAATCGAACTCAAACTAACCATGGAACGGAGATAGATGCTGACGTGGGGCGTATGCTTAGGACTCAGCCCGATCAGCTGGGGCCTATGACGCGCTCCAGGAGCCGGAAACAGGCATTAAACAACTGTATATAAGACTCCCCCCGTAGTTTGCCTTTTAACCCTGACGATGTCAAGTGTATTTGACGAAAGCTCGGTGGATTAAATTTCTATTTTTATAGATATTCTCTTGGTGATCATTATTATTTGGACAATATATATATATATATATATATATATATATATATATATATATATATATATATATATATATAATAAATAAAATACGATCATCAGGAGAGTTTAGGCATAAAAATATACTTTATTAAAAACCGCCGAGCTTTCGTTGGGGACTCCCAACATCATCAGCGCTAAAAAGCCAGTAAACAACGATGACTCAAATAGGTTTGGCTGACATTTGCACCCGGCTCTTGAACTTCTATCCCATAGGGGGCCAGCAGTCTCGGAAGCAACAGCTAGACTGCTGGCCCCCTGGCCCCCTATGGGATAGAAGTGGCTCACAAATCTAATCAGACATTACAGTCCAAAGTCATGCGTTGTAAGGACCCACTTTCTGCCATGGATAAATCAGCAATAGTTTATAAAATCAACTGTAAAAATTGCAATGGCAATTATGTGGGCGAAACAGCTAAGTGTTTAAGAACATGCTTACATGAGCATAAATTAGCCATAAGAAGGGGTGAACAGCATTCCCAAATATGGATGCATATGGCACAACATGGCCACCAATTTGACTTTGAGAATACACACATTATGTCTGAGGATGCCACTAAAGGAGGCCGGCTATTGAAAGAGGCTTGGTTCTCCAACAGAGACTCAATCAACCGTCATATTGATTTACACCTAGCGCAACAAGCATTGAGGAAATGGGATTCTAACTACCACTCCAATCACCACAAGCGGTTTGGCCGACGCTTACAGGATTGTAGCTGCAAAGAGGTACTTGATCCCCACCCCGAACAAGTACACGGGGCCTTAATTAACCCTCGATGCACCAGGAACATCTCTACAGCACTCAACCAACACCAGTGCCATCTTGACGAACAACTGAGGAGTTCTTTGCTGCTGAATACACGCAAGCGCTCGCTGAGGGGGGACCCGCGTCTTCACCAACACCATCCCGACAAACCCCCACCTTTGAAGCCTGATAACAGCAGTGGAGAACTTGGAAGATCCAGCAAGAAGACCTTGGAATCTGATGTTATGGATGGCGACAGCGAGGATCGCACGATAGAAAAAAAAGGGGAGGAAGAGAAAAAGGAGAAAGCGGAATGAACATCCATACGTGCTGTGGGAAGGGGGGAAGTAATTTTTCACCTGGATCTGTGAAGGGACAAACAATCACTGATAAAGAGTATCCCCACCAGCAGCTTAATTCCACCCAGGATGAGTATTTTAAACCCGTTTTGAGTAGAAACAATAGCCACCAGCAGCGAAAGACGGTGGATATAGGAGGGGGAGTGGGAGTATGGAGGCTCGGGCACACAACACTTGCACACGCACTATTTGCAAGAGAAACATCGATAACAGCAATAGCGAGGAACATATGACATGAAGGGGGAGAGAAGGAGGAGAGAGAGGTGGAGTAAATACTCGCTCATGCAGTAAACAGATAGAACAACGGAAGACGGTGGACACAGAGAACACCAGAGTGGGGGATGAGTGTATGGGTGCCCAAACATATAACATCTGGGAAGAAGTCAAAAAAGAGGAACCAACTTCTTCCCTGATCCAATACCTTAAAGCAGTGGTTCTCAACCTGTGGGTCAGGACCCCATTTGGGGTCGAACGACCATTTCACGGGGGTTGCCAAACAAGGCTGTCCACCATTTTTTTCCCCTTTTCTTTGGCCACGCCCCTGGCACCCGGTGATGTATAAGTGGTTGGGGGGTCACCACAACATGGGGAACTATATTATGGGGTCGCAGCATTAGAAAGGTTGAGAACCACTGCCTTAAAGCCACAGGACATGAAATTGACTTTAAAAAGACCAGAACTATCGCCAAAACTGAACACTTTAATAACAGAATAATCAGAGAAGCCATTGAGATAGAAAAATGCCCACACAGCATGAACAAATGAGATGATACCTCCCGCCTACCAGCCATTTGGAAACCCTCCTTTATTGACAAACAAGTCCCCAACACAAAGAATGACACCAGACCCACACTCACAAAAACCACACAGGATGTCACCACCACACATCCACGCAAAAAGCAAACACCAATGATGATGCATGACCACAAACCAGAAGCAAGCTGCATCATTAGCCACTTTAAACCCCTCCAATCCATACATGAAGCAAACTGACACCAACCATGAAGATGAGGCACGACCACAAATGCGAAGCCAAACAATAGCGATTCAGCTCAGCATCTCACATCCTCCTGCAACTCAGACTAACCTGAGCACAACAAAGCCGCCACCCAAACAGAACACTCCCCCATCCAATCAGAGCACAGCCAACCTCCCATCCAATCAGAGCACAGCCAAGCTCCTAACCAATCAGAACACACCTCCACCCAATCAGAACACAGCCAAGCTCCCACCCAATCAGTTCATACTGCCACTGGCAGTTAAAAGGAAGAAACAGCTACGATCACACATTGCTCCTAGAAGCATGAAGCCAAAAACACCAGCCTGAAGATGACGAATGAGACTTCGTCGAAACGTCACCAAGACACTTCCAATTTGTCGCGGGAGAAAACCCAAATAACCAAAGGCCTACATACAAACACCCGTGAAAACCTCAGAAAATGATTTAATTATTGTGCACAGAGAAATTGACAGATTCAAAAAATTTAAATATCAAGCAAATTAATTGACTATCAGCTGGACCAATTCTAAATAGATGGTAAGCTGTATTTTACTACAGGGCTTTTCAACCTTTTCATCCATTGTACCACTTTTAGGATATGGCAACATCCAAGTAGCACCAGTCACCTAGCAAGGTGTCAAAAACTTAATGACCCCCCCCAAAAAGGAAACAAGTGATAAAAGTACAGGCAGTCCTCAACTTACAACAGTTCGCTGAGTGACTGTTCAAAGTTACAATGGCACTGAAAAAAGTGCCCCCAAGCCACAGTCGAGCAAGACACCTTCCTGCCCACCTGGCCGCGCTCTTCCTCCTGTCCGAGTTTTCATTGTTGTGAGCATTTCTCTTGAGGATTGGCAACGGGGGGGTGTTTGGTTTTTATTCCCCCCCGTCTGCTGGGTGGTTGCAGCAGGTTTTGGTCACTTCATATGACTCTGGGATACTGTGACCATCATAAATATGAATCAGTTGACAAGCATCTGAATGTAAATCAAAAGATCCTCGAGATACTGCAACATTCCAGCTGATCGGCGCTTCTTCTGGGCTCAGAAGAAGCACTAGGATTAACGCCGAGCTCCAGCTGGAGCCTGGTGCTGATCCTGGCGCTTCTACTGAGCCCTGAGAGCCCCAAAGAAGCACCAATCAGCCAGAAAACGGCACTGATCCTGGCGCTTCTGCTGAGCCCTGACAGCCCTGCAGCTGCAGCCATCTCTCGGTCAGGCTTGTGCGGTGCTGTCATCAGTTCAGCTCATTCCCCTCCCCCACTACCACTTTTCTAGGATGGTTGCGTACCACCTGCCAAGTGCCAATATACCACAGGTGGTACCTGTACCACTGGTTGAAAAGCCCTGTTTTACTATACTGAAACATTATACCTTAAACTTGTGGACTCAAAATGAAGAACCCAAAACAAATAATAAAGACTTACCGAAGAGAAGCAGATGAGAGCAAAATATAAAAAATGAAATAAGAGGAAAGCATCTCCCATAAATCAAGATGTGGGGGCAGTTTGGGAATGCCAGATACCAAAGAAAAACATCTGCCATTGGCACTTTGAAATATGCATCTAGGAGTGTTTTTCTAAAGGCATAACAGGCTGTGGTCTTATAGCTGTACAGATCAACTTCATTTAGCCAAATCCATTCATTTAAGGACTCATTTTTCTACCACACTGTAGTGTACATGATAGATTAGATCTTATACAATGCAGTGATTTTAGACTGATCACCTTGGGGATGAAGAAACCCTTGAAAGTTACATCCATGGTGGTTGCATGTGGCAAATTGGTGGGGACGACGTCAGCAAACCTTTGAATTTCATGAATTACGGCATCGCTATGAGGCATTTTTGCTCGGTCTTCTGTTGTCGGCTGGAAGTCGCCAATCTCTTTTGCAATTTCTTCTTGGACTTTACCTAGGAGAATAAAATGACAAATATGACACCTTCTGAATTTTGTTTTAAATGGGAGTTTATAAATACTACATTCTGAATGATACAGTAGTCATTCACTGTGATCATTGGATTGTGGCCCTTCACACAATCACTCATGCATTAGTCACTTCATTAATGAAATATTGTGATCTGCTCTACATGTGGCTTTCTTGAAGATCACTCAGTGACTATATCTGGCCCAGTATCTGGCAGCGTAGATAGTGTTTGTGCCTCATTATACCCACATGAGCTCATTGGACTAACTGTGGCAGACTTCTGAGTGCAATTCAACTATTAATAACATCGGGCAAATTGAAACAGTTTGAGTCCATCAATTAATGGTGGGACTCCAGGAAACGTGCCATCTCAGAACATTTCGTTTTTGTATGTCTTTGTGCCATTTATAAATCTATGTACTGTAACTGTAAGGAACTCAGAATCACCATGAGTCAAGTGGTCTCAAAATTTCTGAATAAAAGCAAATCTAAAAATAAATCTTTGAAGAACTAGTGCTAAAACATAAAAGAACTTTGTCACATATTAGAGGACCAAACCAAATTCATATATGAGGGAAATGTTACAAAGATACAGAAAATATCATTAGTGTTAAGTTTAAAAGTGATATCATCTGCGGAGTTCATAATTTGCTTAGGTACATCCAGAAATATTTTGTCTGCACTATTAGAAAATATGGTCATGAAGCCAAGTCTGTTTGTGCTGCATGTTGATCTATGATCTCCTGTGTTAGCAATTTTTCCTTTCCTTTCTCCTTCTTTTAAGAATATTTTCATTTAAAGAAGAGATGATCTAATGATGGCATGTGATGGATAATGGTGTGCATTGGTGATAGGGGACTCACTACTCAAAAGAACTGAATCAACAATTTGTAAACCAGACAATCTATCTAGGGAGGTTTGCTGTCTCCCAGGAGCAAAGATCAAAGATATGATTGAAAAACTTACTAAAATAATTAAGCCCACAGATTATTGTCACCTTCTCCTCTTTCATATGGGGATGAATAATATGACAAAGAGCCTGAAAGCAGTATCAAGAGACTAGGCATGAAAGCAAAAGAGATGGGTGCACAGGTGAGATTTTCATCTGTACACCCAACAAAAGATGAAGGAATGGTGATTTTTTTGAAGTAAACCACTGCCTTAAAGCATGATGCTTTCAAAAGAATTTTAGATTCCTAGACCATGGTCAATAATAACTACCTGAAGGCCTAATGGCTGGGAATGAACTACATCTCACAAAAACTGGGGAGAAGGTTTTTGGAAAACAATTTCCCTGGGTTATCCCAAGGGCTTTAAACTAAAACTGGAGGGGGAAGGAAAACAATTTTTAGAATCTAGTCCCATGCATAAACCTTAAAACAATCAACCAAATGGTAAGAAAGAAGAGGAACTCAGATACAAAACAAGAGACGTAGGAAGCAAATGCAGGGTCAGTGAAAAAAGACTCAAATGCTTATACATTGATGCTCAAAGTATGAGAAACAAACAAAACAAACTTGATGTACTGAGGGCAGATACAATGTTGTTGCCATTACTGAAACTTGGTGGGGTGAAATTCAGAACTGGAACATACTGCTAGAAGGATTGTAATTGTTCAGAAGAAGCAGACCTAACAAAAGAGCAGGTGATGTTCATTATATGTACGAAATAACCACAGCTCTACAGAAATGCAACCCCTCCCCAAAGATGAAAACCTTCTTAACCTGCATTTGGGTTAATATAAAAGGAAAAAGCAATGACATTGCTATAGGTGTATACTGTAAACCACCCAATCAAACATAGGAAATAGATGAACTTCTTGCTAATCAGTTATCTATTCTAAGGAAGCACATTACAAGAACAATGGGGGATTTTAACTACCCAGACATTAATGGGGGGATAAACTGCGCATCAAGCGGGAGATGAAGCAGGTTCCTGGTGATCATAGAAGACAACTTTATCATCCAAAAGGTAGAGGAGGGAACCAGAGAGTCAATTATATTGGACTTTTTTTTTTACTAATAGGGATATAATGATAGAAAGGGTTGAAAGCTTGGGAAACTCTGAAAAATGGGGTTATAAAAGCCCAGTCTAGCACAATACCATTGAGAAAGAAAAATATGGGACCCCAGATGAAAGCAGCATGGTTGTATAAACAACTCTTTGATAAACTGAGAGACAAAACGGACAAGCATAAAAAATGGAAACAGGGACACATTACTAAAGCGGAATACCAACAAATAGCTCAATGTAGCAAAAACAAAGTCAGGAAAGCTAAGGCTCAGAAAGAACTAAGATGTG